AATTTAAATTAATTTTGTAAAATTTAACTGTACTTTAATTTAATATATAAAATTAAATATATTTAATAATATTTATTATCAATTATAATATATTAATTTATATTTTTAACATTTTAACAATTAGTTATTCTAATAGTAATATTTTTAAAAAATTTCATTTTTAATACTTGAGAGTTTATTGGCTAAAATAACGCTAACTTAACTTTATTAATTTTAAGAGGGTAAATATTATAATAAATAGTTCAAATGAATAAATAAGATAGAAAAAAATTTAATTGAGTAAAATAATTTTTAACCCAAAAAAAAACAATAAATATATTTGTTCCAAAAACTTGCAAGTCATTTGATTATGTCATTTAATGCATTAATGCATCAATTTTATAGCAATTAACAAGTAATAGCTCTCCAGGGTTATGTGCAAATTTTTTTACCTTTTTTTGAAATTATTCTACATAATTATAATTATAATTTTCATAATAACATTTTTTTTCTATTTAAAGCAACTCCAAACAATGTCTTTAAACTTACCATGACTGAGGGAGTTGAGACAGTAAAATAATTCATATTTGACATGAGTAGAATAATTATGCAAAAATTACTAAATAAAGAGAGTTTCGGTTCAGTTGCTTTTCACCCCCCACCCCCACGCAAAAAAAAAAAAAAAAAAAAAAAAAGGAGAGTTTACGTTGAGTTTCCTACAATCCTAAAACGCTTAAACCGGGTCCAGCCCGGTCCACTAGTCAGCCCGTTTCCGGCCTTCAAACTCGTCACAATTTGCCCGCCAGCCACTCCGCAAATAAACCCCCGCGCAAAACCCTCCTTAAAATTTTCTTTCAATTTCTCCCTCCAAAACTCCCTATTCTCTCGTTCTCATCAAATTCTTCTTCAATTGAAGTAACCCCCTCTAGGTGCCAGCAGGTCCGCAGTTCGCCTAGATTTCAAATCCTACAACCTCAGGCCTTCACTATCAGTCTTTGGCTTTGTTCTAGGGCTTTCACTGTAGCGTCATTGGAAGATGTCATGGGAAAACGAAATTGTTCTGCGCGATGTCACTAATGCCGGTCTCATCGTGAGTGACCGTATTGGTAGAGACCTCGCGGCTCAGTTTGACCTAGAAGAATCACTGGAAGCATCTAGATATGCTAGTCACCCATACTCAACTCATCCCAAAGAGGTACGTTACTTTAACCCCTCTTCAGTGCAGTCTCATTTGATGCTCAGAAGGCTGAGGTAAAGATTGAATCCAAAATTCATCTGTCTATATGGTGTTGGCCACTGATGGAACTGCTGCATACAGTGGAGAGCAAGCATTTGTCAAATTCATAAGCAAGATGATGTGTGCACAAGTGGGTCGAGGTTTAAAGTCCCATTTTTGCCGTTCCTTTTGTTCCCTACACAGATTTCTGATTAAGTGAGTGAGTTGGTTAGGCACGCTCAATTTCCACTACTAGTTAGTTGATGGTAATTTTATTGAGTTGCGAATCTCCTGTTGCTCTGTGAGACCGAAATCATTATAGTACAAAAGCCGGGGAAGCATCCGGGACTGAATGTTACTCACCCAGAATCCCTGACTTACTTGCATTTCATTGTTATTGAACTACATAATGAGGGTGCCTTCTGTCATGTGAATTGAGAAACACACATCAATGTTGTAATTACATCATTTAAAGAGAAAAGAAAAGAAATGGAAATCTCTCATTCCAGTCAGTGTTTGGTTTAGATTTTAGGAAAGAATTGGAGAAAAATGGGGAGAAACAGAGAGATTTCACATCCTTTATAACCCAATTTGGATCCTTCCAAAATTGAAGAGATTTGGGGAAAAAAGTTATTGGCTTTTCTTAAAATTTTAAAGTACTAACCCCCACCAAACATGGAATGAAGAAAATTAAATGGCAAGCATGTCCTGGTGGTCTCTCAATTTCTCTTCTACTATCCAAACAAGTAGAGAATTCATAATCTTCTCTTCTCTTCATTAAAAGAAATCAATCTCCTCTCCTGAATCTCCAAATAGACTGTAAGTTCCCAAACAAGGAATTATAGCTACAGGAGAACATAATTTTTTTTTTGGTTCAGGGGACTGCTTGGTGCACAGGACTAAGGCAGACCGTCTGTATGCTCTGCATGAGGTGGAAATCTAAACAAAGTGTCTGTTGGCTGTCATTGGGATTCAAATCACTAAGGATCTGGTCTTCTTCATGGTAATTTCCGTCCTGCTATTGGTGGATTTATTGGTCTTTTGATCTTATTATGGACAATAGTACATGTATACCAAAGGTCAAAGTAGTCTTAACCCAAATACAAGACACAAAGAAGGCCTAAATTTGGAGGCGGTTTATCAAGCTCTATTGGGCAACATACAACCAATGTGGAATGCATCATTCACCTATTAGTCTTTTAGATATAACATATAAATGCATCCATATGGAAGATGAAATAGTTGAAATTTATATTATAAGGGTTTAGAGAGAGATCGCTACAAAAGTTATGCATGGAAAGACTGGACTTCTCATATGCAATAAGTTTGGATTTAGTGGTGGGTTTTAATATAATGGTAAGAAAGAATTCATACTTGCATTCTTAGAGTTTTCTTTCAGGAAAAAACTACATCTCTCTGGTTAGACAGTAATTGGATGAGTTCTAAAGGGCACTTAATAGATTGATTATGGTGGATGTTTTAGGTATACATGTCTCTATTGGAGTTGAGGATAAGTGGAAAACATTGAATAAAATTTGTGAGTTGAATTAGATGAATTCTACGCCTCAAAGAATATCTTTCTTTGTCTTATCAATTATGTCATGTGTTATTGTTTTCACAAGAAGGATTATCAGTGTTTAAGCTTTTGAAGAATGGTCAACTGTTAGCAATTCTTATGGTGGGCTTCTTTTGATATGGTTAAGCAGTCCTTGCATCCAATCCAAAACCAGAATAGAATTTCAGCAGGGGCATAATAAATGGTAGTTTTTTTGTTAAATAATATTATATCTGCACACAAATTGAATTGCTTAATCTTTTTAGTTGTAAACTAATAATAGAAACAAGTAAAAAAATTGGTAAACACTATGAAAAGCATATCAATCAGAACTGTTGAAGATGGGCCAAATATAAGAGCCATGACCTTGAATAATGTTTCTTGCAAAGTTAGGGATCGTTTGCACTTGTTGCAGTTTTTTAATTTCTTTAACATTCTGTTTAATTTTTCCTCATAATTGGATGGATCCTCTGTCACAGATTTCATTTGTTTCTTTATTTTGGATCTTAAAACGATTTGCTTTCTGTTGAGGAGAAACTTTAAAACATGATGATATCTCAAGGCTAAGAAGCCTATGCACAGTCATGTGCATTGTGCTTGACAAAATATGGACATGAAAAACTAAAATTTTTGAAAAAGATGCAGGATGAGGCATATGCTAGAGACATGGGGAAAAATCAATATGTATATGTGTATGATAGTTTTAAAATTTATCATAAGTAGAAATATATGACAGATTAAAACCGCCCTCTTTGTCATTTTGATTTTTAGAAACTAGAGAAATCATTCTCCCATAGAGTGTACAAAAAATAATAAGGTGGTACGCCAATTGGGCGCATTAACCTTATTGTTAAAACATAAAATCCTTCCTGAAGTGCCAAAAGGACAAACAAATATTTTGTTCAAACCTGCAGGTGCCCTTAAGATGTCAAGATATCCAATTGCCAGGGGAGCTTGGTGTTAGATTTAGCTCTCGCTTGAGTAAAGGGAGGTGCTGTTTACAAAGTAAAGTTAACTTTGGATCCTGTCTTTAGTTTGAAATTTGTTCTTTACAAAGTTATTTATTGACGTAAGAAGTTCCAAAAAAAAAAAAAAAAAAGAAAAAAAAGAAGAAGAATAAGAGAGACTTTGTAATGCTATCTCGTTTTCCGGGTTCAAATATGGCAGTTTAATAAGTGCCTCAATGCTTAGGGCCTAAGCCTTGTGTACCTATGGCTTCATTTTGCTTTGAGTGCTTAGGCTATCCAGTTGAGGGCTTTTGACATTACTGCTCGCCGGAAAGTATAAAAAATACACTTGGCCCTTGCCATGAGCTGACAGTGTCCAAGTTTTGGATGCATGTTTTTCTTCAGTTTTCAATCTTTTAGTGGAAATATAATAAAAATGGAGAATTCCTGCAGCTGTGTTGTTGTGCCCATATGCCAATTTTCAGCATGTGTCCAACATGGACACCTGAGATCTTTAGAAGTCTCTGTGCTTCAAGCTTCATATTATATTTTTGTAGACCTTTTGTTTTCTTTCCCTAACCTTGGTAATAATTAAAGATTCATATAATTGACAAATGGAAAGCACAGGAAATGTTACTCTATGCGCTGAATATGCATGCCCATGCACCTGATGAAAAGAAGAAACAAAAGCAAAATTGGATGCGTCATGTAATGCATGACTTAAAAAAGGACTTTAAGTAGCAACCTCAGAATCTAAACCTTTTGAAGTGCCAGTAGTTGTAGCTGTGATAGGGCTCTCTTTTGTAACTCCAGGTTTAGATCTGTATGATTCCATCATAAATTTAGTCAAAAAGGGGATGCAAGTATTTTTATCCTATATTATTTGGACTCGGCTTTCTATGAAGAGCTCATCTTTTCATAGTCATATACTTTGTGGCTTGTACTGACATGGGTTGAACCTTCTTTGTGACATGTTGACATGGTATATTGTCGTATATTTTGTTTCCTTAGTTTTTTTTCCTTTGCTATTTTTTTATTGTTAACATGGTGATTCATGGCTCATCTTTTTTGAATACTGCCCTTTTAGTATGAAAGAAAATAATGTTCCATGTCTAGTCATCCATCATGTGGTAAAAGCTTAAGAATTGGTGTAAATGCCAGTTACCATCTAAAATCTTGTTAAAATTAAATATCTATGACAAAATAGCTGATGCTTTCTATAAAAAAAGTTATATATTTAACTGATATGCAAATCTTGCAGGTCCATGGTGCTATTTTCATAGCTTAAGTTTCTAAAGATTTCATGTTATATTCAGCCATAGCAGAATATCCTTGCTGCATGCTTTGCACTTGTTTTAAATGTTTACCTGTTATTAGGGATGGTCAGTGTCCTGAATATAGTGGGGAGGAACAAGCTATGTGCGCTGTTGGCCTAGTACAAGCTAAAGCTGGTATTTTTGTTGAAGCTATCCAGTATCTTCTAATCTTGGCAACTCCTATTGAGGTAGTGACTTTGACAGTTCTCCTTGTAATTATTTTTTGGATAATATTCTATAGCTGCTTGGTTATATTCTTCAAGATTTCTGGTCATTGATTATATTTTTTTGTTTATTAAGAAGTCATTCATATTGTCAGTAGTACTTTTGGTTCTGTCCCCCTTTTGATTCTTATTCTGGTTGATGCTGTTTGATAAGTTTTCAGTTTTCTGAATGTCTATTGGGCACTGTCACTGCAAAACCAGTCTTACGAGGATGAATGATTTATTTCATGTACTTTTGTGACTCTGAATTTCCTATTCTTATTCAAATTCATCTTTTTACTAGAAGTTTTGGCAAGTATATTCGTGGAGTAGTTTATGTTTTTAATCTTATAAAAGGGAATTTTTAGACCCTTTTTGGGTTCTAAAACCATGGAAAACAGCTGCTGATGGACAATTCCATTGACATTTTCTTTTTCCCTGGGGTCACTGAAGGGCCTATGGCCCTTGGATCCAGATCCTCCTTTTGGCTTGGCTTTTTTTTTTTTTTGGGGGGGGAGGGGTGAGGATTTTGGGTGAGGATGAAGTTCATTGGCATTACGTGCAAATATTGAAAGATTTTAGAGATTGCTGCTTGTTCGATGTCCTGTATCTTTTATCTCTAATATTGATTTCTAACTTGCTGTTGGAATTAAGTCACTCCTTTGCAAATAACACCACACTTATGTAGACCCCCCTCTTTTATAGGATAGTTCTCTAGTTTTGTAATGTCTTTCTTTTTTGTTGACTACTTTATGTATTCACGTCCATGTCTATTGTGGCCAGTTGATTCTTGTAGGAGTATGCTGTTCTAGAAGGGATGGTGAATTAGATCCATATGCAGCGGTGTCACTACAGCCTTTGCCTGAGTATACAATGTCATCTTATGGAGTCACTACGACATGCATCAGTTGTACTAACAAAGGTCATATTTCCTGGCTGGCCATGATGGCCACATTTATGAATTGCATTATACCACCGGTGCATGTTGGCAGAAGCAATGTCAGAAAATTTGTCTCACATCCTGTTTAGGAAGTGTTATTTCAAGGTGTCTGCTTCTATTTAAAGGCTTTAAAATGTTTATGGTTTACTTTTGTATGTACATGTGCTGTAGATGTCATAGAATGGTCTTAAACCTTCACTGTACTTTTGTCACCCATGCCTTTCATAAGGTCTAAATCATCTTCATTGGCTCATATTTTAGCATAGTAAAACTATGATTTTAGTTTAATTTTTTTATTTTCATGTTCTAATCAATCTTAAATGAACTCTCCATTGCCTTTTTCGTTTGGTAAAAATGGAACTAATATTTTGATCCCAAATTCCATGACAGCTGGCATTATTCACGTTCTGTTGCATAATAGACCTTCAACTAGAGTCAGAACTTCTGTTTGCATTCTATATACTTATAGGTGCTGTCTTTCTGATTCTTATCAAATGGATTGTGCTAAATGTATTCAAATTTGGAGCCATTGACCCCATTGTTGAAATGGTTGTTGATAATGAGAGACACATTCTGTATGCCGGGACTGAAGACATGAAAATTCAAGTTTTTGTTCTTGGCCTAAATGGAGAAAGCCCACTCAAGCAGGTTGTAGAAGAAAAAATGTGATCAATCAGAGGGATGCAAATTATGAAGGTAGACAGTCAATTGGGTGAAGAGTGTCTCCTCAACAAACAAAAATGTCTATAGTTTGCATTTCAACCTTGTCTATACTGGAATCAAAATGGCTCCATCTTGTAGCTGTTTTATCAGATGGCTGAAGGTTGTATCTGTCCACTACACTATCTAATGGAAGCAGTGGACTTGTTAGAGGTTTGGGTGGATAAAGTAGTAACAACTAGAAGCCTAGCTGTTTAAAAGTTGTAACAACTAGGCCTTGTCTTCCCTTAGGCATTGGTACTTTTGGCTCCATATCTCTTGCTGGCCGATCTCAGAATGAAGATCTGTCATTGAAGATAGAATCAAAATATTATTCTGCTGGAACCCTGGTTCTTTCTGATTCATCTCCATCAACCATGTCATCGCTTTTGTTTGTGAATGGAGATTCTAGCATGCCATCATCCTCCTTAACTAATACAGGAACGGGTGCAAGGAGTTCCCGGGCATTAGAGGAGACTATATCTTAGCTGCCAATTGAAGGGTGTATGCATTTTGTTACTGATATTTTACCCCTTCCTAATACAGCAGCTACTTTGCTGTCACTATATTCACAGTTGGATGCTTTGGATTTGATAATTCAGGGAATCTTGTGAGAAGGCATTTGCAAAACTTTGGGCTAAAGGCGACCTTTCTACACAACATGTATTACCAAGAAAAAGAATTGTCATATTTAGTACAATGGGTATGTTGGAGGTTGTTTTTAACAAGCCAGTTGACATCATGAGAAGATTATTAGAGTGCAAGTCACCAAGATCAATGTTAGAGGATTTCTTCAATCGTTATGGAGCTGGAGAGGCAGTGGCAATGTGTTTAATGCGGGTTGCAAGAATAGTTCATACTGACCATATGATAACTAATGTTGTTGTTGACAAGGCAGTTGAAGCTTTGAGGACCCTACACTTGTTGGGTTCCCTCTTATGTAAAGAGAATATTAAAAAAAAAAAAATTGTGGGTCCCACTAGGGTTTCAACCCCTTTGCATATATATTGTATTTTTCGTGTGTTTAGGTGAAGAGGGAAAATTGTAGCTTATCTAAAGAGAGGAGGCGCTGCTCACTAAGGGAGAAGAAATTTTTCTCAACCATTCGGTTCATTGAATTTGCATTTGTGAGTTCGTTAACCGTTGGATCGAGCTCAAATTTGGACTGTGTGTTCTTCATCCTTTATTCTTCAATCTGAATGGTGGAGATTTTGTTTGGAATCGGAATCGGAATCATCAAGTTTTGGATAATTTACAGAAATCATTTTCTAAGTTTTTTTCTAGAAATTTTTCTGTATTCAATTCACTCTTTTGTCGTTTGCGAGTTCGTTCACCGTTGAATCGAGCTCAAGTTTGGAGTGGTTGTTCTTTACTTATGGTTCTTTATTTGGAAAGATGGAAATTTGATTTGGTGGTCGGAATCATTGAGTTTAGATTGCTCGAACGTAATCTGTTTTCAGGTTACTCTATCAAAAAACTAGTTTCATCATCTCTGTAGATCGGAAGGCCATTTGTGGTCCAATTGAGCTGATTTTTGGAGAGTACATTATGGACTCGTCATTTTTTGATTTGAACGGTGGAGATTGCATTTGAACAATCGGAAGGTGCTCAAATTGTGTTGACAACAATTGCCTTTTGGTGATGTCTTTCTATAACCTTATTATCTCTTGAATATTTTTGAAGAGTGATTGAGATTTTGGTTGTGGATTTCTTATGACAGGTTTTGATTACTGTAAATATTAATATTTTGATAGTGGAGTTTTTCCTTGGACCGGAGAGAGGTCTTGTAGTTTTTATCCTTCACATTGAAGGAGTTTTTCACGTTAAAATTATTGTGTCTTGTGTGATTGTTTTGTGCATTTTGTGAATTGCTCATTGACACTTGCTGAAAATCCCATCAAACTAGTATCAAAGCTTGGTTATTTGAATTAGTTATCTTGAACAAAAGATGGAAATTAATACAAGTAGAATGATTTGCTTGAATGGCACAAATTATCATTTGTGGAAAAATAAGATGAAAGACTTTCTAGTTGTGAAGTCATTGCATTTGCTTATATTTGTTACTCAAAAATTGGAATTTAAAAGTGATGAAGAATGGAGTTTTGAGCATGAGCAAGTATGTGGGTTTATTCAACAATTTGTTGATAATAATGTTTTTAATCATGTTTGTAATGAAAAGCATGCTAGAACATTATGGAATAAGTTGGAATCTTTGTATGCTTCAAAGAGTGGTAATAACAAATTGTATTTATTGAAGAAAATGATGCAGTTGAATTATAAAGAAGGTAGTTTTGTTGCTGATCATCTAAATGGGATTCAAGGAATTGTAGATCAATTGTTTAATATGGGTATCAAATTTAATGATAAGATTTTTGGACTTTGGTTGCTTAATACTCTACCTAATTCTTGAGGGACTTTTTGAGTCTCACTTACTAATTCAGCTCCTAATGATGTTTCCTTTGATGTTGTTAAATGAAGAGATGAGAAGGAAGTTTCAAGGTTCTTCATCACAGTCAGAGGTGTTGGTTATTAAAAATAAGGGAAGTAAAAGTAAGGGTCAAGGTCAGCATAGCAAAGGTAAAAGTAGAAGCAAATCAAGGTTAAGATATAAAAATCTTAAATGTCATTATTGTAGTAAAACAGGACACATCAAGAAATATTGTTTCAAGTGGAAGGAGAATAAAGCTAATAAATGCAAGTAAGAAAAGAAAGGCCATGATGATAATAATGATCGTGTTAACGCTACTATTATAGGTGATCTTATTATTGTTTGTGATAAAGATATAATTAATGTTGATAATGATGAAACCAATTGGGTAGTTGATAATGGTGCTTCCTTTCATGTTACATCAAGGAAAGAATTTTTTACATCTTATACTTCAAGTGATTTTAGGGGTTTTAAAAATGGGTAATGATGGATTATTAAAGATAATGGGTACTGAAATTGTTTATCGAGAGACTAATAGTGAGATAAAGTTAGTTTTTAAGTATGTTAGATATGCACCTGATATTCGACTATATTTGATTTCTGCTAGTAAGCTTGATGATGATGGTTATTGTAGCATTTTTAATGGTGGGCAAATGAAACTCACTAAAGGTTCTTTGGTTGTGGCTAAAGGGAAGAAGTTTTCAGGTTTGTACTGGTTGTAAGCTTCAATCTCTAACAGTCTTATGAATGCAGTTGAAAGTAATTACTCTTCTGAATTATGGCACAAGTGGTTGAGTCACATCAGTAAGAAATGACTTGATTGTCTAGCTAAGAAGAATTTGCTTTCAGGGTTGAAAGGTGCAAAATTAGACAAATGTGAATATTGTTTGATTGGAAAACAGAAAAGAGTTTTTTTCAAACACCATCTTCCTTCAAGGAAAAATGATTTGCTTGAGCTAGTACATTTAAGTGTTTGTAGTCCTTTGAAGGTAAAATCATTTAATAGTACACTTTATTTTGTGACATTTATTGATGATCATTTCAAGAAACTATGGGTTTATGTTTTGAAATCAAAGGATCAAGTACCTGATGCATTTAAACAATTTTAAACTTCTGCTGAAAGAAAGACAGGGAAGAAGTTGAAATGTATTTGTATAGATAATGGTGGTGAATACTGTGAGCCTTTTGATACATATTGTCGAGAACAAAGTATCAGATATCAAAAAACACCTCTTAAGACTCTTCAATTAAATGACTTGGCAGAAAGAATGAATAAAACATTGGTGGAGAGAGTCAGATATGTTCTTTTAGATGCAAAATTGCCTAGATCTTTTTTGGGTGAGACTTTGTACACTATTGCACATGTGATTAATCTAACTCTCATTATTGTATTGGATGCTGATGTTCTTGACAGAATGTGGCATGGTAAGAATGTTTCTTATGACCACTTACGAGTATTTAGCTGCAAATGTTTTGTGTATATACTTAAAAATGAAAAGTCTAAATTGGATGCTAAGACAAGACAATGTATCTTTATTATATATGACCAAGATGAATTTAGTTATAGGTGTTATGATCCAATTGAAAAGAAAGTTGTTAGAAATTGTGATTTGATCTTTGTAGAGGATCAAACTATTAAAGATATTGACAAGACAGAGAAGTTAAAGATTTAAGATGATAGTTTGATTGATTTAGATTTAACTCCTAAAATAACTGTGCCTAATGAAATTGAGTTTCAGGATCCAGTCACTTTGTAAAATGATATTCAAAATGATCAAGTTGAGGATGAACATGAAGTTGCAGATGAGATAGATGCTCTTGTACATGAAGTAGTTGATAACCAACAAAAGACACGTGTTGATCGCCATGAAGCTCTATTGTGAAGATCTATTAGAAACCGCAAACCTTCTTCCAGATATCCTCCAAATGAGTATGTATTATTGACAGATGGAGAGGAACTTGAATGTTTTCAAAAGGTTATTAAAAATGAGCATAAGATAGAATGAAATGCAGTCTTTGTTTGATAATCATACCTTTGAATTGGTTAAGCTTTCTAAAGATAGAAAAGCCTTGAAGAACAAGTGGGTCTATAAGGTGAAGCATGAAGAAAGTTTTTCATGTCCACGGTATAAAGTTGATTAGTTGTTAAATGTTTCAGTCAGAAAAAGGGAATTGATTTTGATAAAATTTTCTTACAAGTTGTTAAAATGTAATCCATTCGAGTTATTTTGGACTTAGTTGCAAGTCTTGATTTAGAAGTTGAATAAATAGATGTAAAAATAGCTTTCTTCCATGGTGATTTAGAGGAAGAAATTTATATGGAACAACTTAAAGGTTTTGTGGTAAAAGAAAAAAAGAATTATGTTTGCAAATTGAAAAAGAGCTTGTATGGTTTAAAACAGGCACCCAAATAGTGGTACAATAAGTTTGAGTTAGTTATGGTACAACAAGGGTATAAAAAGACTACTTCTGATCATTATGTCCTGGATAAAAATCACAGGACCTCTCTCCGGTCCAAGTAAAAACTCTATTATCAAAATATTAATGTTTACAGCAATTAAAATCTATCACAAGAAATTCACAATCAAAATCTCAATCACACTTCAAAAATATTCAAGAGATAATAAGGTTATGGAAAGACATCACCAAAGGGCAGTTGCTGTCAACACAATCTGAGCACCTTCCGGTTGTTCAAATGTAATCTCCACTGTTCAAATCAAAGAAAAAATTTACAACGTGCTCTCCAAAAATCAGCTCAATCGAACCATAAATAGCCTTCCGATCTGCAGAGATGATGAAACTAGTTTTCTGATAAAGTAACCTGAAAACAGATTACGTTCAAGCAGTCTAAACCCAATGATTCCGACCACCAAATTAGATTTCCATAGTTCAAAATAAAGAATCATAAGTGAAGAACAGCCACTCAAAATTTGAGCTCGATCCAACAGTAAAGGAACTCGCGAACGGCAAAAAAGTGAACTAAATACAGAAAAATTTCCAGAAGAAACCTAGACAATGATTTCTGTAAATTACCCAAAATTTGATGATTTTGATATCCAAACAAGATCTCCACCGTTCTCGTTGAAGAACAAAAGATGAAGAACACCTAGTCCAAATTTGAGCTCGATTCAATGGTTAACGAACTCACAAATGCAAATTCAATGAGTTAAATGGTTGAGAAAAATTTCTTCTCTCTTCCTTGGTGAGCAGCACCTCCTTCTCTCTTCAGATAGGTTATAGTTTTCGCTCTTTACCTAAACATACGAAAAATACAATATATATACAAAGGGTTTGAAACCCTAGTGGGACCCACAATTTTTTTTTTAATATTCCCTTCATATAGGAGGGAACTCAACACATACGAAGGGCTTTGCTTGTGCTCATCAAGATTGCTTTTGCCTTTGTGGGAGCTTCCTGTTTTTGTAACCAAAAGTGACTTGGGATCTTCTGATCCTATGCTTGGACCTGGGATAGTTGTTTGCAGACTCTGTTGATGCAATTCATGTCCTGGCAGACAAAATTTGTTTTCTAGAGAAGTTTTTAAGATCTAGACGAAATCAAAGAAGAGGACTGTATGGTTGTGTTGCTAGTCTTGGAGACTTGACTGGTTCGGTTCTTCA